CCCCTACAGCACAAAAGTTGCAGCAACAATTCTGCAACATCGCAGCACTATTGCATGTTGCAACAATATTGTAGCGTTATTACAGCGATATTGTTGCAAATTCTGTGCTGTATGGGTTTAATACAGCAATATAAAAACGTTATTGAAAATAAGAAATCTGATACGGGGTAACCTCAAAAGATAAAGATAAATGTTGGAAAGTTATAGAACAATTATTTAATAGTAGATCTTCTGGCGAATGTCGAAGTTCTGAAGTTTTGAGAAGTTGTTGGGAAAATTTAAAAAAGAAGACAAGAAAATTTTTTGCTGATATGAAAGGATGCAGCTGTTTAAAACAGATAAATATTTTTTAATTAATAATTTGCAAAAATATATTTTAAAATAATGTGTGTGCCATCCTGTATTCTAATTTTTAGGTGAAGGATCTTATGAATCAAAATCGGATGTGCTTTTAGAACGTGTATATATAACATTGAATAATTTATATATGTACATTATTTATATTAATATATAATTACACACACATACGTATATATAATATAATTGTATATTATTTTGACTGTGATGATATAACAGGTAAAATATACTATTGGGTGGATGTCATCGTAGAAAAACATATAATAATATATCTATGTATGTATCAAATATGTACTTCTATTTTTTTAGATGACATAAATTCGTGCAATAAGCTTCCTACAATTTCAAATACAAATTTAAATGAGGCAATAAGTCACAATACCGTAATAGAATTGCTTGATGAAAGTAACAATGGAACAGAAAGCACGCATGAAGATATACTAAATGTAAGTATTGAGGTATATTACATTATCTATTAAAGAATTATCTTGCAGAAAAAGCAAAAGCAGAAAGTTACGAAAAGCCTATAATAACTAAGTAATTGAATGTTTTTAGTTTTTTTAAATGTGTACTCTTGCTAACATATTGTCCCATGGTACGGGTAAATCCAACTCTGGATCGACATTTGGCACTGCATTATTTCTTCTAGCAATATTATGAAGTACTGCTGTGACGACAATGATAGGCATTATTTTGTGTAAACGCATTCGGTACCGCATTCCTAGTGCTAGAATTGGAAACCTTCTTTTCCAAATACTGAACAAGCATTCTATTTTATTTCGTGTACTAATATGCGACTCGTAAAGTCGTTCTGCAGCAGTTTGCGGATTCAGCAACGGAGTTACAAGATACTGCTTTGAAGGGTAGGGGAAAATGGGCGAATTGTGCGCACCTAAGGGATATTTGTTTTTCTGGGATGGTTTTCTAAGTTCAAAACGATATAAATAGGGAAATAGAAACTATAAACATTCTCCTACTATTATGTATTCTTACTTACATACAGCAATGGACTATGATAAAGAAAATGATATTAATGAAAGTCAAAGTGATTTAGAGTTAAACACAAATAACTTACATGTAAGTTGAATAAAATTTTGTTTTGGTTTCACATATTTCTTTTTATTATACATAAATGTTGTGTTGTAGTGCATGGATAACAAGAATTCAAAGGAAAAGGACAAAATGCAGGAATCAAAGAGACAGAATATTGATAAAATGTCCGCAATAGGAATACTAACGAGCAATAGAAGTAGACCACTTCAAAAAAGAAAACTTTATGACAGTTTAGGTAATAATAAGGAACGCAAACAGTATAAGAGACAAGAGTCTATAACTTCAAAAATATCACAATATAATATATTAGCAGATTCAAAAATTGAGCTTGTGCAATTTATGGTAGAAGATTTAAAGGCGAAATTGAAATAAAAATATTAAAAACGCAATTAGAGAAGGAGAGATTGGAAGTACAAATATTGGAGAAAGAGCTGGAGTTAAAAGAAAACGTATTGCAAAGCAAGCAGCAAAAGTTAAAATAGAAATTAAACATTAAAATGTAAGTTTTTCATATAAAAGACTAAAATTAATGTACTTCATATATCTACTTTATAACAATTTAAAATCATAAAAAAAGTATTTACTTAATTTTATTTGCACAACACAATAGGGTTTCAAAATATTAATTTATAATTTTTTCTATAAAATACAGAGTTCTTAAAAACATGTTCTGCTAATATTTTCAAATATTTTAAGAAAAATAAGAAAAGAAATGTATCCACATTATTCTAATAATTACATATTTTAGTTTAAAAAGTAAAATGTTCCTGTTTTTGTGATATTAAAATAATATTAATTATGTTCTGTTAAACAATAAATGTTTAAAAATATTATATATGTTACTTATGTATAATATTTAAAAATATATATTTGAGTTAAATATATATTTTATAACAAACTAAATTACACAATGTAGTTCGTAGCTTTTTATTTAATTCTCTTCTTTCGCACATGTCCACATAAATATACACACACGAACATTTATCTATTAACTCATTATTTATTTAGAATTTTATTTCCAATACATATATCTTTCCGGATACAAATTTGGCATTTGATTATAACAAGCTGAAAAGATAAATATATTTCTTATATATAACATTGAATAATTTATGGGGCATTCTTTGCCAAATCGATCAAGCCTCTGTCCAAAATTGATATGGACGGATTTCGACGTTTGACCCCGGAAAATGTTCGTCTTGAAAAGAGCTTTTAAATGAACCGTGGTCTTTTCGAATATTCAAAATGGTGTCGCTGTATAACTTCGAAAGAGAAAAAAATAATTTAATTTTTAACTTATAACGCGCAAAAAATGTATGATAGTGTAGATTAAAAAATGCCTTTCATGATAAAAATTATTTGTTCGTTTACCGGCTTTAAATTTGTGTAATA